ACACACACACACACACACACACACACACACACACACACACACACACAAACAACATTGTAATTGTACATCTACGAAAAGCCCCACATCAAACTAAAGCAATGCAGGTAGGTCACTGAAACTCACCTCCTGAGTTCATGTGCACAAAGTATGTACACAAACATGCCGGTTTCACGCATTACACACAAGCACACACTGGCAGCTGGTATCTCTGTTTAAGTCAAGACAACAAATAAACTAAATGTATTATAGTTTGTGAATGAACCCACATAATGCAGTTTGCAAAGATAACTGGCAGATTTCCAAATCATTTTTGGAAACAATGGGTGCTGGTTTTCAGACGGAAGTAGATTGAAGTGCCTCTCACTTTTAACAGGCGACTGTCAATTTATCTGGCAAATTCTATAAGCTAACTTTATAGCTGGCTAGCTAATTAACACTAACTCCTTGAGTTCTCCATCTGACTTTTTAATGTTTCCAGTAGAAACTCAACAAGAAGGGTCCTATATATTTAATAGCTACAGTAATTACACATTGGGCTACTAAATGGAGTCATTTAGCATGAGAAAGCTACATATTCCTGGTAGAAAGTCAGCATTAAAATGTGATCTTAGATTTTAGAAAATAAAATTATAAATAAACAATAAAACATACCAGGGCTAGGTTTTATTGTTTATTTCCAAACAATATTTTTCACTTAAGCAGAGAGGATTTGAGAATGAGGATGAACCAACAAGTTTGAGAAATGTTGCGGGAGTTTAAACATTCCCAAACCACATACAGAAGCAAGACAGAGCCACCAACGTTAGCCTCAACTCTGATGTAGCAGGATGTGGTTTCCACACAGCTGCCAATCCTGAACTGACTTTTGTTAAATAACTTGTAAATAACTTGTAACCAAAACCAAAAAACATGATTTGCTAATAGCTTTCAATGCAGTTAGCTTTGGAAGTAACTCTTCTTACTCAACTTGTTTAAGGAGTAAATAAGTAAAACTCTTGAGCTCCTGTTTATATGCTATATGCTATATATTTATTTGTATATTAAATAAACCAATAATAATTTTTTTTTTTCCTTTCTGCCTGGCATTTGAAAGAATATTGTTCTCTACCCAACAGAAAAAAACTCGCTCTTCTTTCCCTCTTGGGGAAATGAATTTCAGACAGGAAAAATCCAAGTTTCTTTTGTATTTTTACAGGAAGTTCTTTTCTTGGGCAACGGCATGATGACAAGAAGAAGCAGCAGAATTAGTGTCTAAAAATATAACGTATGCTAGCTCAAGAGGAGAGGCTGAAGACTAAATCTGTAGACTCCGGGATGGAAGCAGAAGCAGTTCTACAGTAAGGAGTCAAACTGTCAGTCTTGTATCCCCCTCCTGGGACCAGACAGGAGAAGGTGATTTCTCTCCTTCCCTTTTTCTTTAATCATGTCTCACAAAACTATTACCTCCAGAGAGCGGCGGAGTGTACAGCAGAATAACAGCTCTGGATGAGTGACAGACAAAGTGGTGAGCTGGGAGAGGAAGCACATGAAGTAGGAAGAATGAAAGGAAGGTCATTTTATCACTGTCGTGACAATACTGCACTGCCATGATGAAAGCTCTTCAGAGAAGCTACGGTGGAAGCTCCATGATTCTTCTTAATTTGCTGTTTGTAAAAATGTTGCATTTTTAATAGATTAGTGGCCAAAATTGTAACTTCTGTGCGCGAACACAGACACAATTTTCTTTAACGGATTGTAAAGACAGAAGAAAACACAGTGGTAGGTAGTATGGTGCAGTGGAGATTTGTTACCATTGAGAAATTAAACCAGAGTGTATGAACATTAATTGCTTAAAAAAGGAACTTTATAAGAAG